CTACTTACTACTTGTACTACTGTTCCTACTTTGTGGTTTTTCACTTATCGCGGGGCTTCAGGGTACGGATCCCCCACGATAAATGAGGGACTACTGTATTACTAATAAATTGCATAATTTGATATAGTTCAGGATGTCCTATATAACGTTTGACATCATAGTTTGCAATGAGTACATTTAATTTTTAATCTGTCGTAATTCTGTTTTATATTACCAGGATCTTTTCAATAAGATGCAGCGGTTATTTGATGCTAACGGAGGATTCAGTTATTAATTCAGGGTGCTCGTCCCTCAAGGATAATGTGTGCGTCGTCATCCTGACCTCACTCAATCTGATGACAGTCAGCAGATACAGGTACTGCACTGATGGAAGTGAAAAGACAACCGTCTCCTGTCTCCTCTAGATAAAAATCAACCTTTTTACACGAGTCTTTTGGCTGTTTGCATAGATAAAAAACATTTTAGCACAAAGTGAATGCTTAATGCATGGTGGACAATGTAATTTGGATTATTTAGTCGTAAATATCTCTCCAGCTTTGCCCTAATTTGAAATAATTTGCGGTGAAAGCAATAAATTGAATTTGTATCTGCTGGAGATTCAATTACACATCAATCAGCCGGCTCCTGAGTGTTCTGAGATGCATAACGGCTCAAGAATTTTCCAATAAGCATCACGTCTGTGTGCCTGTTCATGCTGCAATAAGTAAAAGCGTGCAGGTAGGCTGCTGCTGAATCCTGAGGCCTCCTGTGTCGTTTGAGCTTTCCTTGTCTTTTTTTTTTTTTTTAACAGGATGCGATAGGTGTCTGAGCAGTGCAGCTTGGAGATAATGGTGGGATACTTATTATAGCCCTAGCAACAGGAGCGGGATTGGTGGCTGCGGAGACTGAGCCTGTCTGTGATTGGCTGGTGAGGAGGACCTTTCAAAGCACAGAATTTCATCTCATGAAGGATCCGGTGCAGCGAGCTGCAGCAGGAGGCTGCGGTCTGAGGGTGGGAGATCCAACAGCTCATACTTCAGCTCATCAAAGGTGCAGCTACTAGTTTGAAATTCACTAATGAGGAAAAAACAGCCCATATTAGCTCAATGTGTTAATACTATCATTTTACAGGCTTACAGCATGCCCACTTTTTAGTCATTACTATTTGTTTGGTGTTATTTTACTGCACCACTCCTGCAGCTGCATGTTCAATTTATTGGATTTGTCTTAATTAGTTATTAATTAGTGAGATGGCCTTAAAAATAGTTCCATGTAGGACACTCTGTGGTAGTTTTCTGTGATCTTTGCTCTGCAGCTAACCCACAGTCCTCCTCCCAGGTTCACCCACAAACACAGGTACACAATATTCATACAGCACCTGCTTCGATTTGGGCCCAAGGTGGGTCTCTTTGTGTCAGAGTGTGAGGACAAGCTATCAAACCTGCAAACTGAGGAGGAGTATTGATTTCAGGATGATGCAACACAGACAGAAATGAAAATATAGATTTTTACCAGTAAGCAAATGACTTTAATGGAAAACAGATGGCAATGAAAGAAATTCCTCGGAGCGTACAGTCATCAACTCCTGCTAATTTCCAGGTCAGCTCTTCTTATTTATTTCTCTTCAAATTCAAAATTCAAATCAAATCTTTTAAGTTTTAACCTCCTAACATTTTTTTTTTAGTATTGTCTATGCATGTCGTGTCACAGAAACAATAAGTGTGTCCAAAATAATGAAAACTTAAACATAAAGCACAAATGTTGGACAAAATTAATACATAAAAAAATGAGGGCAAGCCTCCAGCTGTGATTCTTTTTAAAGAGAAAAAAAAAAGAGAAATTCTTGATTCAATTAACACAAAAACGTGAAAACAAAGTGACTTTAACGGCCGTTTGAGCACAAGTTTTTCCTGCCATTTGTCCCGTGAACCTCGGAGACCTTCGCAAAGTTAAAAATAAATGAAAGCAGCTGTGACATACTGCGAGCTCATGGAGGCTGACTCATGATGATGACATAATTGGCATACATGAGCAAGGTTGTGTGAGCGACCTTAAGGCTTTTGGTTTCCCTCCCGAGCCATCAAATCAGAAATAAAATAGAAAAAAATTAAATTTCCATCCATAAGTGGATTAATAATCTATAGAAGTAGCAGCAAAGTGGTAATTAATCTGTTCAGCAGCATCGATGTCTTTAAACAAATGGTTCCCTACTCTGGTCCTTGAGGAACACCATCCTACATGTTTTAATGTTTTCCCTGCTTTGACACATCTGATTTCAATGAATGGGTGATTAACAGCCTTCTGCAAAACATGAATTAAATCACTGAATCAGGTGTGTTGGAGCAATAAAACAAAACATGCAGGATGGTGTTCCTCAAGGACCTGTGTTGGGAACCATTGCTTTAAACTTTGTTCTTAATTGTCTATGCTCTGTCCATCTTTTGCAAACATAAAAACACACGAGGACCCGTTGAGGGGAAGCTAAGTCCTGCACACATGCTAGCAGGAAGTTAAAATACTATAATTTCTCCCCCAGTTAAAGATCAACTTGCAAATGACGCTTATAAGATGATACAGGCGCAAACAGGAAGCACATTTATACTCAGGGCAAACAAACAAACAAATAAACACTCATGGGTGACAATATAACAATACACTAGACCACCACGGAAATGGTGCATGTATAACTTAGTCATATTCTTTTTTATTATCATAGCTATTATTCCGGTTCTTGTGCAACTGCTACATAATGACTCACATTCAAGATATTTTGTCACTCAGGAACAGCTAAAAGGTATAAAAACAAAAAATAATCATGTATACTGTCTGACATATGGTCCAAGTATGTGAATTCAGAACAGAAACATTGAGCCTGGACACGTCACCATTATTAAAACTTGAAAGCATGACAGAAAAAAAAAGGACTTAAATACTGTTCAAAGAACAAAATATATCATAATCATACTTTAATGTGACAAAACACCAGCTGGTAAGATTAAGTAAGCACTGGTGGGTTATTATTTTTTTAATTTTCTTAGTTTTCTTTCCATAACAAATTAAATACACATATTGCATGTCACTAAAGCAACGCCCATTACAGGTCAATTTTTACGATCACCATTTTGGTATAAGCAAATAAAAAACAACATAAAAATTAAAATAAATTAGAAATCAACATCAGACGAAACTTGTTTTTTTTCTCAATCATAAGAATACTTAACACCCACAGTATAAGTTAATAAAGTCAAGCTATTGTATATAAATACATCACCAGCATGCACAATATTGAATAAGCAATATTATTGTCATCTTACACTGAAGAAACAGTATAGTAGGCAAGTGCATTTAATAAAACGAACACATAAGTAAACCACAAACTCTGAAGCTGCTTTTAATGGATTTTTTTTTTGTCCTTTTTTAATTAATTTTAAGTCTCTGCCTTTAATAATCTTTGCCTCCAAACAGACCAACGGTTCCAGCAATGCAACAGTCTATCTGCAGAAGTTTAGGGGGAATTTGTTTTGTCCATCTAGTCCAATTCTTTTTTTTTTTTTTTACTTCTGTGTAAATTTATCCACTAACATTTGTGGGATTTAACCATTTTAAAACTTGCAGTGGCCTTCGCGGCCATCTCACATGTAGACTATTATTGGAACTGATGCAAACTACGTTTTTTTTTTTGGTTTTTTTTGGTGAGGCGTTCCCATTCAAGCGTTTTCTCTCTCGAGTGACTCAAATGCATCTCTATCACGCAAAAAACCTAAGTAAGCAGCTTATCTTGATGGAACAAGACCAGTTTCTATGCCAGTGTGAGGCTGCCATTTCAATCCAACAACAACCACTTCAGGCTGATTGACTGACGTTTCAGTGGTTTTGGCAAATGTCAAAGAGAAAATCAAGAAAACAGAGGCCCTCTTTCAACTGTATATATATTTCTATATATATTTAAACTAAGATTTAACCTCCACCCTCACCTCTCCTTTGATTCTTTTCTTTTAACACATGGAAAAATAAAGAACTGCTGCTGCGGTAGTTTCGTCGGCAAAAGCGGCTGCCAAAGTCCACCGGCCCTTCGTAATTTTTTTTTCTTTTTAAACGCGTTTTTCTCTATTTATTTAATTGTTGCCCTCCCCTCCCTCATCGTCCTGCTGGTCACTTGTCCACAGTGTCAAGTTGTCTCGGAGCAGCTGCATGATGAGAGTGGAGTCTTTGTAGGAGTCCTCGTTGAGGGTGTCGAGCTCGGCGATGGCGTCGTCGAAGGCGGTCTTGGCCAGATGACAGGCCTGCTCGGGGGCGTTCTGGATCTCGTAGTAAAACACAGAGTAGTTGAGAGCCAAGCCCAGGCGGATGGGGTGGGTGGGCTGCATGTGCTCCTTGCTGATCTCGTGCGCCTCGTTGTAGGCCTTCTCCGAGGACTCCACCACGCTGGCCCTCTTCTCCCCCGTGGCCACCTCAGCCAGGTACCGGTAGTAGTCGCCCTTCATCTTCAAGTAGAACACCTTGCTCTCGTGTTGCGTGTCGCTGCAGTTCTTGATCAGGAAGTTGTCCAGGAGGTTGAGCACGTCCTGGCACACGGCCTCCAGCTCTTTCTCAATCTTCTCCCGGTAGGCCCTCACCATCTCGATCTTCTTCTCGTTGCCATCGGCGGAGGTCTTCTGCTCGATGCTGGAGATCACCCTCCAGGAGGAGCGGCGGGCGCCCACCACGTTCTTGTAGGCCACGGACAGGAGGTTCCTCTCCTCGTTGGACAGGGCCTCGTTCAGCTCGGTTACCTGGAAAAAAGGTGAGCACAGACGACTTTTTGAAAAAAGCCACTGATCACTCCATCTTCTTCATTGTTTCCAGACTGTTCTGTGCTGCTGATTACAGCATCCTATGAGATTCAAGTCATGATCTTTAATCATTTCTCTAGAGGGGATGCCAGCTAAATGAGCCTAATCAGAAGAAAAGGAAAGATGATGATAATGACAGCTGCAGGACTTATCTGACAGTAAAATATCTGCGCCAACATGGCTGTCCACAGAGTACGAGCAATAATTCATTCTTTGTATGCTGTTCCCAGTTTCCATGGCAATCCATTCATTTAGTGCACCAGTAGCTCCAGCTGCCGCGTGTGCAGCTAATGCCAGTTAGCGAGAAATGATATTCAGGATAGTTTGTGGCAGCAGAGATGGGGGGGTGGGGGAGGAAAGGAGGAGCAGTTAAAACGTTCACACGAGTGCTCAGGGGCAGCTGCAGTGTAACGGAAAACCATCACTGCATCGGAGGTTCACGTGTCCCAGTGACCTTCTCTCTGGCTCTCAATGACCTTTTGACCTTTTTAAAGCGCCTCGCCGTGACGTCACTCTGACTGGGACTGTTAAATTTAGACGCAGACGGATCGTGGCGACAGCCGGATAGACTCTTCCTTTGAAAAGATAACATTATGGTTTTGCTTTTTGGGGTATTGATTTCCAACCAGTCTCGCTAAAAAGCCTTCCACCAGGATGGGAAACTGACGTAATGGCCGAGAGCACAAAGATGGCACCAGATGACATCACAGCGAGGAGATGTAGAGGGACGGACAACCTATAGAGATTGGACTGGCCCTTGCAGTGCCTGTCTATAAAACACCGAAAAGCTTTTATGAGAAGCAGATAACAAAAAATATCCCCACCCTGATGGCCGAGAGCCTCAGACCTCAGCAAGATTGGACCTAGGCCTGTTGCGATAAACAATAAATCAATTAATCGCATGATAAATGAAAATTATCAACCTCATTTTCATTCATTGGCTTTATCGTTTTTTCGTCTCTCTCTCTTTCTACTGAAGACACTGGATGACAAAAGGCTCAACTCTGCTGCTCTTTGCTGACCCCTCCCTTCTCTTTTCTCTTTAAAATCTGTTTTAACGGATCGTTAAAAGCAGCTAAGCCGAGAAGCTAAGCTACGAGCTAAGCTAACAGGCCGACCTAAGGAAAAAACTTCTGTCTTGTCGAAGCTCCAAAATTCAGGGTTGAAACCCATGCCTTCATCTAAAAGGTTTTTCTCTGTAAAAAGAAGTTGAGAACTTGTTTACTGATTTTTTTTTATTTTTATTAAAAGCTTTATGTGAAAAATGCTCTGCTAAAGAGCTCAAACCACACCGAGCGACCTCCATTTTGAGAACCGAACAAAGGAAGGAGAGACAGCCCATGTCACGTCATGGGGCCTCTCTCCCATTTTTCTTAAAGAGACACGTTGCTCGCTCCCTCACTATCCATCCTTTGGTTCAAACTGTCTTATACTGCCATCCGGTTGTCAGAAAAGTTATTACGCACAAAAATTAACCGTTTCTTCTTAAATTTAAAAATTAATTACTAATTATTGTCAAATTTCAAACAATATTATCGTTTATCGCAATAATTTCTGAGACAATCGCCCAGCAAAATTTGTTATCGTGACAGGCCTAATTGGACCGTTGTATTTTGGGGCTGTTGGTCAATGGGTCACTGGTTTTAGAATCCTACTAGTGACCATTTCTATTAACATTACTCAAACGAAGCACCAGTATCTCCACATACATTTTTCATGAGAAACACTGTGGTGATGGCCTCTTGTTTGATATTTCAGACTGAATCCGATCTTTAGGACCCTGGGCAGCCGATTTTCATCAGCAATTTTTAAAAATTTTGTCCAATCCAGGTTTTTTATTCTCCTAACTTAAATGGATGTATGTTTAACAACACTTACAAGAACTTTTAAACTAATACATCAAAGCTCTTTCTCTTTTGAAGGAACTAAACTGTTGAGTACGTTGCGCTGGTTTTAGCAGCATCTTCATTTTCCTGCTTGATAATTAGGACATGACTGAGTGACAATTTATTTATTTATTTATTTTTAATTAAAAATTGGTCAGCTGGATACTCGGTCCATCTAAAGCTACAAGTCTAAGGGATTCCCTTTGATTAGAGAGTGAGTGAACACACCCCTGCAAAAAAAAGGAAAAAAGTGGGGGCCCAGTTTGGACCGCACTGACATGGCAAAATGTTTAAAGGGAAAGGAATCCCTGCCTGCTCGAACACCGGCCCACCTCCTGCAACCAGAAACCCTCCTGTGACAAACCGTCCACTGGGTTTAGGTGTGTGGGGGTGGGGTGGGGGGTCCATTGCATCCATAAAACAAAATGTTCCTCTTTAATGGGGAGTTTAAGCTGAGGGGGTTGATGTGACACAGCAGTTTTAATGAATCTGGTCCAAGATTTTTTTAAGACGAGGCGGGGGGGGGGACAAAGGCTCAGTCCTCAGCAGTGACCAATAAGAGCTGAGAAAGCTAATGTGAGCCAAGTCATCCTCCTCACATCAAGCATGACTCCAGCTGATGATCCAAAAAAAAAAAAAAAAAAAAAAAAGAGTCTAAACGTCTGCCACAGACCAGCACATGCTGCAGGAGGAGAGGATGGGCCGGGACCAAACCTGGCCCAACTGACTCACTGCAATATGACAAAGACGGTTCTGGAGAGGTTCTGCCTCCTGCATGTGTTTAACAAGAAGAGCAACATCATCTGAGCCCATCCTGCTCAGAAACAAACCTTAAAGCCTCTGGATTAAAACGGGCATCAGTGGATCTGAGTTATCCTCATAATTTATGTGACAAAGAGAAAAGAGGAGGTGGAGGAGGAGGAGATGGCTCCCTTCAGGAAGGAGGCTCGAACTCAGCATAATGGAGGAAGAGGAGATGGGGTGGCACAGGAGATATAAGAAAACGAATCAGTTTTGAGCATCACAGCAGAAGATCAGACCTGATTTCAGGATTATAATCTGGTGAAGGCGACAGAAAGGCACCGCCCAAACAGAACCCAGAACCGGGCTCGGCTCAGAGAGGGAGTGAAAAAAGGTGGGGAGGGGGCATGAGCTGGCAACCCAATAAAGAAATGAATGATTATTTTACAGCAGCTTCAGATGCAGGTAAAGTCACAGCTTTACTGTCAGGATGGAGGGCTGAATTAACAGATTATTTAATCCACACCTATCAATGGGTTGAATGGACTTACCGATTTCATGGCAGCTGCCATGTCATCATATCTCTCAGCCTGCTCGGCCAGCCTGGCTTTCTGCACCAGCTGCTCGCGGTCGACCATTTTCTCAGGTGATGTTTGGGTCGCTCGAGCTGCTCCACGCCGGTTGTTAGGGGATGAAGAGACGGTTTGTGGACTCGCCTGGCGCTGCAGCTGTTCCCTGCTGTCTGTCTGAGCTCCACACAGACGGGACACCCTCTCCTCTCCTCTCTCTCTCTCTGGCCCTGCCTTCCTCCTCCTCCTCCTCCTCCTCCTCCTCACACACTCTCCACGGGCTGCGTCATCACTCAGGAAGGTGGGAGTCTGAGCTGATGATGTAACATTCCATACACGAGACCAGAGGGCCAGCAGCACTGAGCGAAAGGCATGATGGGAAGGGAAGTCCTCCAGATCATTTCTGCCACTGTCATATGAGAAATGTGCAGTGTGAACGCTGAACAAGCTACAGGAGGAGGAGGAAGTCTGATTGTATGTTCCCATACAATGGTGAAATTAGTTCCCAGCATTTAACGCATCACACTGAGATACACCCAGGTGGAGCAGTGGACAGCTACGTAAGCGCCCGGGAAGCAATTAGGGATTGCCCCACTATATTTGTCTAATCTTGTAGCTGTCCGTGAATATAGGAGAACACTGAGATCTTCTAATACATTTCTACTTTCTGTCCCAAAATCCAACTACAAACGATGGGGTGACCGGGCCTTTTCGGTTGTCGCACCCAGATTCTGGAACCAGCTACCTCAGGACTTGCGCACCATCACTGACATGGAGCATTTTAAATCTAATCTTAAAACCTTTTTATTCAGGCAGGCTTTTAATACCTAGTAGGTCTTTGACAATTTTGCTATGTTTTAATTGTTTTTGTTTTTAACTGACTGATTTTTTTATTATTCTTGTTTGTTTTTAACTTCTGTACTGTGCAGCACTTTGTGCACCTTTTGGCTGCTGGAAAGGGCTCTATAAATAAAGTTTGATTGATTGATTGATTGATTGATTGATTGATTGATTGATTGATTGATTGATTGGTTGATTGATTGATTGATTGATTGATTGATTGATTGATTGGGTGTCTTACTCAGATATTTTAAAAAAAAGTTAAAAACTAAACAACTGGACTTTATTTGTAACTGAAGACGGTTTGCTTCTCATATGAAGAGCTTTCTCAATTCAATGAAGCGTGGGATTCAAGTTATGAAGCTGTAGTGTTCTGTAAGCTTGCATAATGCAGATTGACACATGCAGATTGACCTCTCACTCCTCACAATTGAGGATCATTAGGGTCTTTGTTAGGCCCACCCACAGAGGCGCCACTGATCACGTGGTTGAAAGAGACACCATGCTTGTTCAGAGACACCACGACGTGTGGGAATGGCTGGGAGTTGAACCGTGACTTTCTGGTCCCGAGTCGGCTGCCCTATTTTGGCCCCCTACAGCTTACTAAAGATTCATCAAGGGGTGAAAAGTTTAAAGAAGCACAGAACAGCAGAAATTAGCACACACAAAAAGTAGTTGAAAAATAGACATTAAAGCTCAATTTAGCTCAGTTTGGATAGGCTCAGACTGATTGTCGAACCTCATATTCAGGAGGAGCAGTGTGGCATGTGGCTTTTTTTCCTGGTTGTGGAACAGTGGACCAGACCTTTACCCTTGCAAGGTTACTGGGGTCGTAGGAGTTTGACTCTCCAGTCTACATGTGATTTGTAGACCTGAAGAGGGATTATGACCATGTTCCCTGTGACATTCTGTAGGGGATGCTGCAGGAGTATGGGGTGAAAGGATTGATGAAAGGGCTATGCAATCCCTGTAAAACTTAACCAGGGACTGTGTCCGCATTATTGGTACAGAGTCAAGCTCGTTCTCGGAGCAGGTTGGACTCCACCAGGGCTGTCCCTTTTCTCCAATTCTGATCATGGTGTTCATGGGCAGGATCTCAAGGTACAGTCATGGAGAGGAGGGTGTCTGGTTTAAGAAACTTAGGGTATCCTCTCTGTTTTATGTGGATTACGTGTTCTGTTGGTGTCTTTAGATCACAACTTTCAGCGTGCTTTGGGACAGTTCGTGGCTGGGTTGAGTGTCAGCTTCTCTTAAAACCAAGACTGTGGTTGTCAACCAGAAACAGCTGGAATGCCTCCTCCTGTCAGGGAGTGGTCTGGTCTTTGCCTCAGGTGAGGAGTTTAAGTATCTGGGCATCTTGGATGAATTGACAGATCAGGGCATCGTCCTCATTAATGAGGGCATTGCTTCTGTCAGTGATGGTGAAAAAGAATTTGGACAAATTGCAAAGCTCTCGATTTACTGGTCTTTCTATGTTCTAAGCCTCACCTATGGTCATGAGGTGTGGGTCACGACCAAAAGACCAAGATCTTGAGTACAAGTATCTGAAATGAGCTTCCTTCCTTCAGCTGACGTGCTCAGATCCAAAAGGGCGTGTCAACCAGACATCTGACATACTAAACAATGCAGGTTTCTAATGTCAAAACTAATCTAGTGTGAATAAAGTTACACCCAGAGTTTTTAACAAAAAAAAAACGAAGTCCAGATGACATGATTCAACCTTTTTTGTTGTTATATACCTGGATGACTGAGAAAACAAACTTTGTGTTTTTGAAACCATTAGTGAAAAGGCCAGACTTCAGGGGTATCTGAGGCAGGCTTGAAACACAAGAGTCAGGGTGGCTTCTGGGTAATACCAGATGGCTAGGCCTCAGACTGACGAAGCCTCTTGGATGAGGGGCGAAACGTTTCTTTTTAACAAAAAAACGAAGTCCAGATGACATGATTCAACCTTTTTTGTTGTTATATACCTGGATGACTGAGAAAACAAACTTTGTGTGTTGATGCCACTTCGTTTTTATTTTTATTTACAGAAGAAGAAGACGTGTCTTCAGAGGTTTTTGTGTCGTTTCTTTCAGTAGTTCTTAGTGCAGCGCCCCCACAGGCGAGCGGGGGAACAGGTTGGTTCAACAGGTTGACTCGACTGCACAGTGCAGTGTGAATGCAAACTCACCAGCTCAAATGTAAACAAAAGCTCATGAATATTGGTCCCGAACCGAGTCTACCGGACTATCAGGTGTGAAAATGACCTTAAAGAGAGGGAGTAAAGAAGTTTAGGAGGAGAGATTTAGATGGATGGAGGAAAGTATGTTGACCAAGAATGACACCCTTCATCCGACCTCAGCTCTGCCCTCGGTACACTCGGTGCGTGACGACTCGTTATCTTTGCAGAAGATAAATCAGCTCCGGTACAGAGGTCCATTTCAATGCTACCATTCAGCGTCTCCGGTCAGGGTGGCTGAGAATCGTCCGAAGTAGTGACGAAATACTCCGTTCAACAGAATAAGCTTCCTTAGAAGGAATCTTCATTAGAAGTTGTAGGGCATTACGCCCAGGTGAGTTCACAGCGAGGCAGGCTGTGACTCCGCTGCAATGGACGGACCCTTGGCTCATGGTCCAAAATCCATCAGCTATTATAGTAGAGACTGTTAGACCTTAGTCTCATGTTAAGACTGAAAGTTCCAGTCAGACTGAAAGTTCCAGTAAATGTTGACTTTTAAAGGGTATCCACTTCCTGTTACTTGGTACTTCCTGATTGGTTAACACAACCAGCAGGGGTGGAGTTTTAGTGATGTCAGAGGATTTTTAGAAGTCACAGACAGCAGACATGTTTTTAAGAACGGTTAGTAACAGACAGGAAAATATTTTGAAGCAGTGAGAGACTCGCAGGCGCCAGTTCTTATTTACTGTCTGAAAGTTTTAAAACAAGGCACTTCGTTCTCATAACTTGTTCTCTGACTTTTGACAGACATTACAACTCCACTCCTCATTCAGACAGAAGAGTAAAATGCACAATTACTTTGTAAATAGACATTTAACTTGTATGATCTAAGTCTAATGAGGTTTAAAAATCATTAATACTGTTTCAGAGTTGATTTAAATGAGTAGTTTACTTCAACATTAGAAATGGTATGAACTGAACACACTTTTGATTATCAAAGATATTGTAAAATAGTAATGATAATATAAAAAAAAAGAAGAGTGTTCTTAATTGATTAATTCAGGATACAATTAAATAGTCTCTTGATGAGATAATTTGTGTTCTGGATTCAAATCAATGAAATAACAGTTCCTGTCCCCTGAAGGTCTTCAGAGACAGATTGATGTAGGAGGTCTAGTTCACTACAAGAGCATTTCCTGTTGGTGACAGTTTTGATTATCTGTTTCAGTTTCGGCTGTATAGATTCGGCTGCAGTTTACAGAAAACGGAAAAAATAGAGAAGCTCTTCAGTGTGATGGATTTATGTGAACATAAAACATTTTAAACCAGACCACCAATTGAACAAAAGAGCACAAACTGTATAAAGGAAAAAATAGTTTGTCGTTGAAATACGACATAATTACAGGAAAGATCTCAAAACTTATAACAAAGATCTTATAACAAATTAAAAATCTATGACATGAATTCAGCAGCAGTTTGAAACTAATTAGTCAGCAGTTATTTACCCTTTAAAGCTTTTTATTTTGTTAATTTTCAGGATAATTGTCCTCATCAGATCATTTGTAATTATTGTCGATGCTCTGAATCATTTTGTTTATTGTCTGTTCCTGATGATTGAACTGTTCAAAGCTCCATCTTCTGGACTAAACCGAGACTGAGGGAGGAAATGTGGAGAGAAGAGGTCGAGTTTTAATCGTGTTCTTCAGAAACCGAACAACTGATGTTAAAACCAGCATCAAACAACACAAACACCCAGAAGAGGGGAATTATTCAATTTAACTTTAAACTCTGTTGTAAAGAGCTGTTGTCACCATGAACAGCAACAAAATAAGAAAAATACATAAACAAAACAACTTAAAGACAACAAAAAAAAAATGAATGTAAAACTTCCGCAGGAAATAATGTTGTACTGAATTAAAATCATGTTTAACAAAACAAAGTTTGAACTACAACTCACATTTAAGACGACTTCACGCACACACTTGTATTATTTTGGCGTGCGTTCGTTATTTTGGATGTGCTACAGCTAACCGCTACTGCTGTAATTTTCATTTCCAAAATCTGGAGAGCTCTTTGTAAAAAATTTTTTTTTAAGTAACTTTGTCCGGTGAACTTTTTGTTAACTTGTCGATCGGTCAGAATTAGATTCTGTTTCTCCAAGCTGAGATCGCTCAAAAGGGTATCTGCCACAGGTAAGACATTGACTATTCATCACGTTACAAAATCTGAACTATTCTTTTATGCATAGTCTTAACAAGTAGAAGGTCAGAGGATCCAATTTCTAATGTTTTAATTTAAAAAAAATGAGCAGGAGTCAACAAAATGTGTCTGAAAGCGTCTCGCCTGACCTGATCAGATCATCACCTGCTGACGCACAGGAAGTCAAGACTGGAAGTGATCATTTAAACTGGATTAAGGAGGAAGAAGAAGAAGAGGAGGAGGAGGAGGAGGAGTCAGGCACAACATCAACAACCAGATTAATAGTTGTATGGCCGTAAGACCTGAAGAGCAAAGATTTATCTGCAATAATTTGTCTTTTGGCTCACCGCAAACTAACGTTAGAGTTTTAAACGTCACCCAAAGTGTTGTCAGTAAAGAAAGTCACTAAAACTTCACAAACACCTGATTTATTATTATTTATGTTTGTGTTTCTCCCTCGTCTTGTGGTGTTGAATCAAACTTGATGATTTGTTGCCACACTTTGCCATTTTCTCCTATTTTCTCATCATTTTTCAGCCTCAGTCTCTGCTGAACAGAAGACTCCTCTCCCTGCTCTAAAGAGGATTACAGCTCCTTCTGCTTAGCTTGTTACCTCACATTAGGCTGGAGATAAGGAGCGGCCTGCTGTCTGCAGCAGCCATCTTTCTGCGCGCTCAGGAGCCGTGTCGGCTGTAAATGGAGACGAGGCTGGAGCTGGACGTTCTGATCTACCCCGATGAAGTGAGGGTGGCCACCCCAGAGGACCTCCTGGAGTGGGAGCTGGAGACCGCGAGCCAGGTGTCCATCCCCACCGTCCGACTCTTCGTGGCTCTTTACCCCTACAACCCTGCTGCCATGTCCCCCAACTATGAGACGGCTGCAGAGGAGCTGCCCTTCGTGCCGGGCCAGATCATCAAGGTAAAAGAAGAGTTCATTTTATCTCCAGCCCTTGACTGACTCTCTGAAAGACGTGTTTGCTGATTGGATCTGCTGAAGGAGCGTCTTTGAAACAGCGTTTCCTGTTTGTGCAGGCCTGCAGAACAGGTTCAAAGACATCAGCTTCTCTTTATTTCCTGTTGCTGCTCATTGATGTGATTTAACGCCCCTTTCACATGCATGCAAACACACACACACACACGTCTGTCCCCTCCTAACCTAAAACAAACTGATGGAGCTCTTCTGCTCAGGTGTTTGGGGACAAAGATGCTGATGGGTTCTATCACGGCGAGTCCGGAGGCCTCTCCGGTTTTGTGCCGAGCAATATGGTGGCTGAAATCCCGGTGGACGACGACTACCTGAAGCATCTCCTCATGCAGCAGGGGTTCCTGCCTGTGGACCACACAGGTACCAGCCCTCTGGTCCTGAACCCCCCTGAGCTTCAAGGCTCAGGTAGATCTGAGCCTCAAAACAGATCGTCAACAGGAAGCAGTGACATCACTGAGCGATGAGAGAAAACATTTCAAAACCTGCTGACGTGCATGATTTGTTAGCTCTCGGCTACTACCGCGCTAACTTTTAGCTTAATCTGTAAAACTGTTTGAATTAGAGCCATTTTGTTTTGGCTGAGGTCTGTTAGCTGTGCAGCCATCTTGAATCAGGCTGACTTTGAAAGGTTGGTTATCCATCTACTGGTTTCTTTCTAAAAGTTTCAGTAAACTGGTTCATGAGATATTTTGCTAACAGACAGACAACTGAACACAAGCAGATCTGAATTAGAATGCTCTGTTTTTTCTTCTCGTCATCATAAAGTTTTAAAGACGTGTTTGTGTCTTTCTGTGGAGCAGAAACGTCTTTAGCCTCAGACCGGAGCGAGGCAGGAAGTGTTCCTGACAGCGTGGTGGTCCGGAGAATGGTGGCCTTATTCGACTACGACCCGTGGGAAAGCTCGCCCAACATGGACAGCGACGTAAGCTCTTTAAATCAGACCGCATGTGCTCAGAATCATTAAAAAAAACAGACGAGGTGAATTGTCTCGTCCTGCAGGCTGAGCTTGGCTTCAGATCTGGAGACATCATCTACGTGTTGGGTGACCTGGATCCAGACGGCTTCTACTACGTGAGCGCCATCTTTGTTTTGTCTTTTTTTTTTTTTTACATGACAGGTCAAAGTTCACGCGTAGGCTCATGTTGAACTTATTTTTAGGGCGATCTTCACGGCCGGCGAGGTTTGGTTCCGTCAAACTTCCTGCAGCCGTTACCCTGGGATTAGAAGAACCCGTCTCGCTGATGGTTCTGCTCCAAACGCCAAGTTTCACTCTGAAACCTGCACCTTTGACCAACTACTAGATCAAATGGGTCGTATGAATACGAGAGTTTCTTATTTTTATAAAATAGCGTGATGAAACATGGAATTTACCCTGAAGACAAACAAAAACTTCAGGCAGGATTGAAGGATTTCACTTGAACCAGTTTGTCAGATGAGATTCTTTATTAACAGTTTTCAACAAAAATTACATGTTGTAGTGAAAAGATAATCAAAATCACATTTTTTATTTTTTAAAGATGATAACAACTATACATTTTGTCATTTTAAAACATTCAAAATTAGGGATGCACGATATTGAATTTTTGGCTGATATGCAGATATGTTAAAACTTATTTGGCCGATAACCGATACCAATACCAATATTTTTTCCCCCTAGACCTACTTACAGCGACTACATAACTTTCTCTGCTGTGGAATTAAAAAACTACATCATTCTGCATGGTCTTTGTCAGTTTGGCCTGCTACAAAATGCAGATGCCAAAAAGGGACTGAAAATGATGTAACACTTCAACTTGGATTATGTTTAATGCCAAATTTGTTTATGACATTTACGACCTCTAACACAACAACACTCGAACAGTCATACAAAAACAGCACCTTTTATTTATATATATATATATATATATATATATATATATATATATATATATAT